GGGGATGATGATGATGTTTCTACTTTCTTCGCTGTAAGTGGATTGAACTCTGGCTTTCCTTCAGCATCTGTAGTTGGTGGTATTGAGCATCTATGTTATGTTTGACTGTGTCCAATAATCTGCTGTTCCTTGGTAGCTTTTCTTGCTCCGGGCTGCTGGTTTCCTTCTTCCTTGCTATATCATGGCTTGGGCCATCAGTGTATTGCAGCGTCGAAGGCAAAGACAGGTTAGAGCCATTTCTATAGCTCATCTTGTTATGTTTCCTCTGATAATTTTATACAAACAGCAAGTTGCAGCTAGGAGGGAGGGAGGAGGCTCAAATGTTGCACCATTTTGCTGTGCCCTATATGCAATTACATGCTTCTTTTTTTCTTCTCCTTTTCTATTCTCTCGTTCTCTCCCCCCCTTCAGGTTGTAATTTTGTTCCTGGGGATGGGGTGGTTAAACTTTTCTATAAGTACTCTGGTCATTGCAGTAGACTGAAGATTCCTCATTGTGCTATTGTTTTATAGCTGTCAATGTGAAAATTGTTGCTTGATGACTATAATTATCTGGCATATCTTCAACTAATTATAGGAGTTCTGAGAATGACTCCTGCATTTATTTTAATTAGGTCATTGTGCACATGTTTACATGGGCTTCTGTTTATTGGTTGGTTTTCTATTACTAGGGCTGCAAACGAGCTGAGTGGAGTCGAGATTTGGCCTAATTGAGCCGAGCCTCGACTTAAGTTTATGAAGCTCGAGCTCGACAAGCTCTCAGTATAAAGCTGGAGCTTGAGTTAAAAAAATTAAAAAATTATAATTATTTTATTTTTTTTAAAAAAGAATAAAATAATAATTTTTCTTAACAAATAATAAAATATTAGGAATATATATGTAATTTCATTATTAAAATAAAAAATATTATATATATATATATATATATATATATATATATTTATATAATCGAGTCGGCTTGCGAGCTAACGAGTTGAGTATCTTTGAACTTGAGTTCAACTTCGTTAGCTTGAGTTCGACTAGGGCTGTGACTTGAACAGCTTGCAAGCGGCTCGACTCGTGTACAGCCCTATTTCCAATATTGTTGTTGGGTTCAATGCTTTACGTTTGATTTGTTTTGACTTTCACGTAGTGGCTTTTTGTTTCTAATTTAAGTTATGCTCTTTGCACGTGTGTGTTTTGGTTGGTCTAGAGAGTTGATTTACTCTGTTGGTAGGGGGGAAAAATACCCATATTTCATTTGTATGGCTTGGTTGTAGCAAATTGTTAGCTACTGCATATTGTGTTTATCTTTTATTCTGTTAGTAGAAATTGCATTATATGTCCTTACTGATTTCTTCTTTACATCTTCTTCTCTTGAACCAGGAAGCAGCAGCACTGGCTGCAGCTGAGGTCGCTTTTCTGCTGCAGGCTGGGCAACGTAGGGGTATTCAAGTCAGAATTGCACCAGTACCTACACCAGCACCAGCGCCTGTAGCAGCAAACGAACCTGCAGTAACTGCACATACAGGGCCAGCTCAATGACTTCTGGGTTTCCCGTCTTCTTCTAAGCTTGTCTAGAGGAATGTACTGATGATTACGGTTTCTTCCGACATTTTTTACAGCACCAGAGGAAATATATGTATTGATCTTTGCAATTGTTTCTGCGGGTTTCTTTTTCCTGGTTGTGGGTTGATCCTGCTGTCCACGATATCTTAACTTCAATCATTGTATAAGACCTGTAAACTACATATTAAAGTAGCAATCACTTCAGCTGCTGCTGTGGATTGCTTTAATTTTCAATATGATTATTCTGTAAATAAGTGAAGATTTGTACTTGGTACTTGCTCAAGAAGCTGTTATACTATGACTATGACCGTTCTTTGTCTTCATTCCTGTTAACACCTTTGCTTTTCCCCTTGTTATAGTGTTCAGTTGAATGCATTTTACTTGGCTTTCAGTACCAGAAAAGGAATCTGCTAAGATGTATTTAAAACTGGTTTTTGTAAGTTAACCATTTCCTGATATCTGCAGCTGTAGAGAATCTAAGAGACAAGGGAGACTTGGCCGCTTTGTAATTTGTTTTCCCTGTTTAGTTACTTGGGCTACCCCCCTTTTTTTTTGCTTTGCTGCCTAGCTGATGAACAGATGACTTTGGTGTTATTGGATCAGTTGGTGATCTCTTTACCGTTAGGCCCTATTTGGTTTTTGAATTTTTTTGGTGCTTATGTTCACAATTAATTATGGAACAATCAATTAGTGGAAATAACATGCTTTCAATTCTTAGGGGTAAGGTAAATCTTGACTGTCAGTTTTCAATTCAGCAAATATTTAGCCTTGCTCAACCAATTCTTTTGAAGTTTACAAAATTTTTTAAAAGTTTTTTACAACCTATTCCAAGATGAACGAAACATGGGATGAGACACTTTCAACAATTTAAACCAATCTCATCCCACTAATCCATCACAGAAACGTGCTTGAGAGATTTAGCAAATTACTGAAGCAATGAAACAATCTTGCCTTGAAGATAAGTTTTGGGATTTTCTTCTCTTCTCTTTTTAATCTTCTTTTGGATCCTTAGACGCTTTGAAGAAAAGCCAAGAAATTGATTAAGATAAGATGTATAAGTGTATAACAAGGTTTATCTTCTGAAATTTGATTGTCCTAGGATGCATAATCTGAAAGCAACTGCTCGTGTATGTTTCTTTTTTGCTTTAAAACCGTGCCAAAAGAATCTAAACAAAATACTCTTGACTGGCTTTTAGATCACATTACTGCATTTCCATCTCTTTTACTAATAACTTGTAAATAAACCACCCCCAATACACCATTCCTCCAGGAACATAAGAAATTTCGTGTACTTTCTAATGCAAACCTAATCAAAAAATTTCTTAATCACATGGCATTTGGTTCTGGATTAACATATGTTAAGGGTTCCTTTGCATGGGGGTTTTTCAAAAAAAAAAAAAAAAAAAGGGGTCAATTTGGTAACAAGAAGAAACTAGAGTTGGCCAGGAGCAAGAAAATGAAATGGTAAGGCCATAATTTGGTGTTATGGGGTTCAATTCGTTGTTAAAATTTTGAATGGATTTAATTATGGTCATGGCTGCTAAAAACAAAGATAGAGAAGAGAAAAGAAAAGCATAAAGGAAATCCATTAAGCACAAGAAACCAAGACTGGGATTTTTGTTTGCATAGAGAGAAGAGCTTGGAATGCTAAAGTGAGATAGCATAAAGCAGGGATTTGGTTTTTTAGAAGAGGCTGCTATCCCCACATTGCCCAACATTCCCCCAGCTTTATCTAGCTTTCTTGCAACTGTAGCAACCTCAACTTTGGCTGGCTTATGCCTTTGTTCTACCGAAGGAGCCACTCACACTTTGTAATTCAATATTCAAATTCCTAAGGCTACAAAAGAATGTTGAAGATACTTTTCATTATCCTTATACATCACATATTATGATTTATGCCCTGGTTAATTGTGTTGATAGGATTTGGAGTCAAAACACAAATATTCATCTAATTGGTGAGCTGTAGGACAAAAAAGTTGGAGCTTTTCAAAGCTCAAGTTGGGTTAAAATCCCTAATTTTAGCTACGCGTTATTGAAAAATTAAATCAAATATTATTCTATGTTCAATCAACAAATAATTAGTGTCACGTAAATAGTATCGTTATCTCGTGTTATGTTTCTTGCAAATATAGTTTTTTGCGCCCTCAAATGCAAACATCCTTGCATGTGCATTGGTGCGCAAATACATATACATATATATATATATATATATATATATATTCAATCGATAACTCTTACTTTTACTCTAATATATATTAGAAGAGGGCCCAACTAAATCAAGAGAGATTAGAGGGAGAGGATTCTACCTCTAAACCAAAGGGGTGCACTGCTACACACCTTTTGAATTTTACTACAAGTGTAGAGGTTTGAACTCCTAACTTTCAGTCGGGCCTGTACCTTATGCTTCATTGGGTAGTCAGCTCGTTAAGGGGAATATAATTTGGTGACCATATTTGACGTCTCCTATAGTCCTGTATCTTGCAGGGCTCACAATTAATTTCATCTGTCTATTGAGCTGAGCCAAGGGGTGCAGATTCAGTTACTTCATAACTCAAAAAGAGTGGTTGAACACGTGAGAATATGGTCTGATGACTTGGCCAATTGGTCTACAGTTCTAAGAGTCTGATATGGTCCTTGTTTGGTCCAAAAGAGCAAGGCAGATGATAGAGATGTGGGGAACCTACATAAAGATTCTTGGCTTCCCTAGAATGATGTTCCAGTTTAACTTTTGTTCAAACCAGTCAGTGTCTTCTAAAACAGCCTTACATTTACTTCTATGGCAGGCTTATCATTGGGTGAATCTTAACTTCTTCAGATGTTCAGGGCCCCTCTATGCTTTATACCTTTATTCAACCAAATCCCACAAAAATAAAATAAGGCAGATGTTTATATATGGCAGAACGAGGCATCAAGAACCAGACAGTATAGTGTAGTCTTTACTCTTTAGACAAAGTACCTATTCTGTTCTTATTGTCCAAAACAAGAGATACCCGTTATCCCCCTTGCTTTCGCACTGCAGCAAAAATGAGCTTCTCTTCTTGTAGGATGATCATACTAATTGTCTGTATTGGATCCTTCTGTTTCCAACCAGAGAAGGTTTCTGGTCTTAGAAGTATAGATCTTGCTCTCAGATTACATGAAGGAGAGTTATTGTTCCTAAGAAGTTCGCGGATTCTAAACTCTGTTGCTTCAGAGGGCCTGCATGTGCAGCTAAATTTAGCTCCTGCGCCTGCAACGATGTTTGATCCAAACCAATCAAACAAACGGAGAGTTCGAAGAGGGTCAGACCCCATTCACAACAGATGCTGATGTTCGCAACAGATTGGTTTGTTTTAGGTGTTCCATTGTAAAGACAAAACATGGTGCTGGATAAAGGACCGCCTGCTTTAGATCGAGATGATGCAGAAATTTAGGTTGGTTGGCTTGCTCACGTGTTTAGAAACTATAGCTTTGTTGAGTTTCGATTCTTCTTTTATCATTTCTTAGTTGAAAGTTCAGGCTTTTGTATCAAAGAGAAGCTGAGAAGATGCCGATGGAACTGTCTCATCAGAAACTACAATTGTATAAACATGATTTTTAACTATAGCTTAAACATTTTCTGGATACAACTAACCTCCATAGTGTTTCTTTCCAACTCTGATCCAGTGCTTGTTTGCATGTAATATCCTCAAGCATACAACTTAAATGTGTAAACTTCTTGAAAGATTTCTTTTACCTGCTTTGCCAAATTCTCTAGAACCACCACCTGACGTGAAAACTTCTGAATAATGTTTTATCTTCACTGTATACCTTGTCACGCATAACTGAATTTGCAGTACTGCTAATGGTAGTCCAGGCTGTCCACCAATCATCTAAAACAAGGTAAGTTCAAAGTGGAAAACGCCCGCTTACGAATATCAACCTCTGTTTCTCTGGAAAATTTTCTGATCCACTGGTTATTTGGTTAATAATAAAGAATAGGCTCAGCTGAGGTTGCAAAAATTTCTGAACGGCTAATTCTGACCCCTATACTTTCTAAAGCTCCTTACTTTACAAAGAGTAAGAGGATCTTAGCAGGAGAAACAGCAGCACAAAGATACTAATGACCCTATAAGCCCATTTTTCAAGAACCCCCAGATTCCAATAGTTGGAACTCTATTTACCAAGTCAGTAAAGTTCTTGTGGGGTTCTCATGAAGTAGATGATTGGCCTTCAACAAGAATCTGTGTCCTCTCATATCGGGTTTTCCTATGGACACTTGACTTTACACCAGATATCTTCCTTGAAACAGCCTGCCAAATCATATCCACCGCATCACCAGGTCGAGAAGGGTATTGATATTCATAGTGCGATGCAATGTCCTTTAGTTTCTCCCACATTTTGGTCCACTTGTCCCGCTCAATTCCCCTCAGAAGATTCAGAAGGTAACCACTTTTCACAGCTTCTGATGCACGGATAAATATGCAGAACTCTGAGTAGTCCAAGATATCTTCAAATGGTAACTCAATCTCATCGCTAATTATCACAGGAACACAATGACTAGCAATGGCATCAAAAAGCCTGTTCGAGGAAGGAGTATCTCCTGCAATATTAAGGCAGAATTTGGATGCGGCCATGCCATGGGATGCCTGTTTTATACCATTACTTCCAATACTTCCAAATGTGAAATGTACATCCTTCTCATCTTTGAGAAGATAGTAGAGTTCCTGACGAATTATGCCACCCTGAAAATTAAAAAGAAAAATCATGAGAATTTAAACTTTATCATCAGGACTTGTAGAAAAGGAAAATCCAGACTTAGATCTATGACCAAATGGTGAGCCAGAAGAAAGCAACAAAAGTTTCTGTATAGGTATGATTAGGTTGTTAGGAATTGAAGGGGGAGGTAAGGGTGTTATCTAACTGGAGATGGTGAACGAGTTTGCATGGCTTTGAATGAGCTGATAGAATCTGTTTATTCAGGATGCTGGACGTCAAAAAACTATACCACTGTGGCCCAGATTTCTGTTCAATGAAAGTAGGTATTGTAGCAACAAACTGGGGAACTTAACAAACATTGAAGCTAATAACAGACAATCAGCATCATACCAAATCAGACAATGCATAAGTACATCTGTAATTGCATGTATGACTATCGACAAAGAAAACAAGATTATGTACAAACAAATATATGCGCTCATGTTCGTACAATACCAACATTTTCCTGACTTGAATAATAAGATGCCAATTCCATATTAATGTGAAGTATTTCTTTTAAAAGTAACTCCTGGTTACCATAATTCAAAGTAGTTTTAATTCTAAAATCATGAATTCATGGATATATGACTGTCTGATGTGAGGTTATAGCCGGAATGACCATTTCAACCACTATGTCGTCCTGCAGATTTCTTGTCAGTATCTAAAACCAATGCATTTTCCATTTGAAGGTTCTTATAAAACTCAGTAATTTTTTCTTTGTGAAAAAGAATAAGTTTCATGCATAACAGCAGCAATTTGCAAGCCTTCCATTTTAAGTCATATGGGTAAATAAAGCTGGAGGACTTCAAAATGCTCAATGCTGACTGAGTGAAAACCTCAGAAGACCTTTTCAGTTACCACATTTCAGCCCCAAAACGTTCCCTAAAGTTAGGATCACATCACACAGATTGTAGGAATAATAACAACAAAACAGGGTACCCAAGAGGCTCCAACTCACGGGTTGCAACACAAGATCAACATTGCAGACAAAATGTGTAAAGATTAAACAATTCTAGGGTAGAAGAACCAAATGAAAATAAGAGCAGAGACTTACAGCTTTCCTGTAGATTGCACCTTGGAAATACACCAGTGTGGGCCGTTTTTCAAATGGGGCTGAGTCACTAGATGAAATTGTCTTCACCATATGTTTATAGGGAGCAATTATATCCTTGTCAAGATTTGCTACATGAGGAGGGTATCTTCCAAAATCTGCAAGCACAAACTTGGCAGAATGCAACTTCTTCCTTGCATTCAACAAACTATTCGGATGGTGGGCTACAATCAAATGATCTTTCCCATGCAATCGTTTCCACTCATCCCTATCCTTCAGAAACTCAACTAATTTATCTTGCAGTAATCGGTTCACACTGACTTTCTCCTTCCCGTGAAGCTTAGAATGACGGTTGTAACTTAGAGATGCAAAGAATGGCACAAACAGGATATCTGCTTCAGTCGAATGCTCCACTCTGATGGCAGTACATGGTCTATCTACATTTGGAGAATTTGATGATAGGAGATCAAGTGTGAGCCAGTACTCAATGCTGTGTTGTAAATTCAAACCACCAGGATATGAAGGTACTTGATGCAGATCACTAACATCAGGCCACAATTGATTCACACCTCCTCTCCAATTCAACAATCCAAAATGAAATTCAGCAGGCAAGTCATACATATAGACCCTAAGAAGAGCCTTACTTGGATCACATTTTACTCTCCTTGCATCATGTCCTAGTCCATCCAACTTCTCAGTGAAATTCACATAAGGAACCTCTTCATTTCTAACTTCTTCAGTAGTTAAAGTTTCAGAAGGGTTGACATTGTCTTTCGAGCAACTAGATGGACTATTGACAAGGAAAACCTGAAGAACCGAGATGTTTCTGAAAGAACTGCCACAAAATTGGAAGAGGGACAATGATGAAAGAAGTAAAAGAAACAGCGAAAGGCCTATCAGGCAAGAAAGAAACCTTGAGGGTAGTATACTTTTCTCCGACATTGTAGACATTTTTCAAGAAGCAGAACTGAAAAAAGTCACTTTCTTGAACCTCTTGAAGCTTAGTACCTTCAAGAAGAGAAATTAATGACTTCCTTCCAGGACAAAATGGGCTTAGATTCTACACAAAAAACACCTGTTCCTTTTTAAGAAACAATTAAATGAAGCTCCAGAATAGTGTCAATGCCATCCAAATAAGTAGGAATACTCAAAGGGGTTGCCAATTCAGTCCATAAACTCTAACCTTTCACCCAAAATCCAAAATTTCACATCCCACGAAATAAAAACCGAAGAAAAAGAGAGCTAATTTCCTCTGTATTTGCCTAAGTCTACAATCACTCTCTGTTCTCACCGTTCAGAAGAATCAGGAATATCAACCTGCAGGCAAAATAAATACAGAAGAATAACTAAATATTAAAACTTTCCCAAGAATTTCATCCAAAAGAGGAGGTCAAGAAAAGAAAAAAAAACACACACACACACGCACACGCACGCACGCACGCACGCACCCTTTTCAGCTCAAGAAAAGTAGCAATTCCTAAAGGTATGATCTTTACGAAACAGAACAATACAATATTAACTACAGTAGCTATTTCTTAGGATCTTGGTCATCAAGACTAACTAATTCTTCATGGGAAAATATCACAATATCACAAATAAAACAAAAATGCAAATTACCTAATTAGCTTCTTCTTGAGCTAAATATTGATCGGTTTGAAGCAGACAGGGTCCCAGTTAAGAGAGCATTGCCCGCAGGCACCCAAAAAAGAAGTTTGATCCAGTTGCTCTAATGACAATCTATATATCAATCAAGACTAGTTCTCTAGTCTTTTTATTAATTGACTATTCAGCTTTTTATGCCATTCTTGAAAGTGGACCAAAAAAAAAAAAAAAAAAAAAGGAGAGAGTAGTTTCAAGACACTTTTGGCGTGCCCAAAAGAACAAAACCCCTTTATTACCGGAATAAATGAATCACTTTTTATTAGGAAGTTTTCCTTGTACGCTGGACAAAATGATGACGTGTCACTGTTTTGGTAGATGGTGCGGAAACTAATGCTTCTTGGCTGTGTTTAGGTACGTTTGGTTTATAATAGACCACGCATTCAATGATCAAAGGTGACCTCATATTATAGGAAGTACAACATGAAAGGCATATGGTACGAGTCCTTTTAATGGGTCTACTGTAGACTTGATATACAGACTACTTGCCCATCGCTACCTAGACTTCTTAATGGTACATAATTAAACGTTGACCAAGGTTTATTTTTGGATTTATTTTATTTGTATTTATCTTTTTTTTTTTGGAAGCATATTTGTATTTATCTTTGTTTTACGTCGTTTGGGTTCAACCAATGTGCATCAACTTTACCAAATGTTGATTAATCAATCAAGTGTTTAGTTGGGGGAGGGGGGCTTGGGGAGGAGGGTTGCGTGGGAAAAATTGAAAATAATATATTCTAAATTTAGAATCTTCTGCTCATAGAAATAAGAAAAAAGTGCTTATTAGAGGAAAAATTATACTCCCTCCGTCCCACTTTGATAGTCTCGTTTTCCTTTTTCGTCTGTCCCAAATTGTAGTCCACTTTCCAATTGAAGAATGTAGTTGTATTTTAATTTTTCTAAAATACCTTTATTCGATATAAGTTGTTGTTACTATAAACCTATCACATTTAATGAGAATTGATTCTTTTTTTACCATCAATTCAAGTTCCCGTAAAGTTATACTATAATTAATGTGAGGGTATTTTAGGAAAATAGCTACCTAAATTGATTGTTCCAACAAAATTAACTACTTTTTCTTAAACCGTGTGAAAAATAAATCAGGACTATCAAAGTGGGACGGAGGGAGTATAAACAATCATTGAAATACAAAATTTAATGTCCTATGGGTGTCCATTAGACAGATCATATTTGTATTTTTCTTTGTTTTATGTCATTTGGATTCAACCAATGAACTTTTTCCAAAGGTTGATTCATCAAGTATTTATTAGTAGAAAGGAGGTTCCGTAGAAGGAATTGTATACAGGAGATTCTGAATTTAAAACTGGTGGCCTAAATAAGATGTATTTATTTAATGGAGTTTTAGATAAACAACCACTGGGGGGACAACATTAAATGCATGTGGTACAAGCTATGGGGAATTCCTCTTGCTATGTTGACTTGCTTGTTAGTCCGTGGGGCCCTCTATAGCGAAACATTTGGCCAGCAGTACTTTGTTTTCTTGTTCTGGTTTTGTTATAACTTGGAATTAGATCAACTGGACAAGGGCTCAACTAATATGGTACCAAACTGGGGTGAGGTTCAACTAATTAACGTAAGTACAAAGAAATTAGTAAACAAACAAAATATGGACCCCTTTAATGTACTAATCTCATTTTAATACGAAACTCTTTCAATATTAGAATCTTGGCCCATCAAAGATACTGTAATTTTGAAAGTTACCTCGCTGAGAATTACAAAACACTAATAAATATCTAAATTGTTACTTTCATCGTTTGCTATTTTAGAAAAATCGAGCAAGTGTCTAAAATATATATATATATATATATATATATATATATATATATATATATATATATATATATATATATATACCTAAAACGTAGAGATAAAGGAATTAAAATAAGCATATAGGTTGGAGATTTAATGGCTGTAAATAATTTCATATTGACCTCAATATATTGGATGACAAGTTTGTTTGGATTGTAAGTTATTTGAGATATTTTTACTATAGTACTTTTTGTGATATGATGTATGTGAGATAAAAAGGTAATTGGGGAAGTAAAAAGGTGTATTGGAAATTGTAACGATGATATAAACAAATATACTCCCTCCCTTTTTTTATAACTGACGTTTAAGGTTTTGCACACCAATTAAGAAAATTTTTTCATTGCTTAAATCTGTACACTACTTTCCTTTTGTACTCTCATTAATTGTCCAATGAGGGGCAGATAATTACTAGGGTTGTTACAAAGAGAGAAGTAATAATTACTAAGAGTAGTAATTAATAACCCTGTATTGGAAAAGAGAGATAAAAGGGTAAAATTGTGAAAAAATAATTAATACTGTATGGGGATTATAAAACGACAGATAAAAGTACACTGGAGCAAATTTCTTAAACGTCAGTTATAAAAAAAGGGAGGGAGTATTTCGAAGGGAGGGATATAAAGGCTTAGTATATTAAAGGTAAGAAAGAAACCAACTTTACAATTGGTTGGATCATGCAAGTGGTAAAGAAAGCAATGGCCAGTGTGTCAATGTCATGCAACAAGAAGGGGCATATGAACTTTTTGCATGAAGGGTTGTATTAGTTTGGTATCTTCTGACTCAGTCTTCAACACACTGTTTTTATCTCACATTTGTTTGTTATTAGCAAACAATCCATTGAATGAATGAGACCGTCCTTTCTTTTAAGAGAATTACTTATTGAACCCACTTTTTTGGTGTCAACATTAATGGTTAAGGCCCTAAGGAAGAAACCTTTGAAAATATTTATCATTCACAACAACAAATGTTTTTACATAATCCCTTGATGCCTTTTCTTTTTTTTTTTTAAAAAAAAAAACTGACTTTTTGGGTTCGGCTCTCTTGAAATAATGATAACTTAGTTAGAAAGTACAATAATTTATGAACCAAGAATATCTTACTTGAAGAAAATGGAAAGAAACTTTTAAGAAAAAAAAATTAAATTAAGTTAATTGTTCAATGAATTCAAAGCTACTTGTGAAAGCAATTACCCATTTGGCCAAAGAAATGATAAATGAATTCAATATATATATATATATATATATATATATGTGTGTGTGTGTGTGTGTGTGTGTGTGTACAAGAATGTAGAATAAAACAATGTAATGAACATTGAATATAATAACAACTTACCTTGCCTCCACGGTTTCTTTGAGAATTTACACATGATTGAAAACTATATTCTCTAAGAACACAAGAACCAAGCTTCAAAACTCTCCAATTATATTCTTGTTGTATACTAGCCTAATTGCAATTGCAAGAGCATGATGATGTTACTAATTTCTATCTTTTTCAGCCTCTCAAATCTTGCTTTTCTTTCAATGATTCTGTTTTGTTCTATCCGGTTTGCATTTATATAGGTTGCCAGATGATTTCCCTCCACGTTTAATTATGAAGATAGGTTTTTATCAACTTCGTGATCAAGGTTTCGAGAGCAAAATTCAAGCAAAAGCCTCATCCTCAATGTATATCACATCCTCCCATCCTCAAGGATTAGGACTTTTTGAGTGGCAATTGAATGTTAAAGTAGGAGTCTGCTTCTTATGCTGATCCTTTCCTTTTCTTTAGGGACTGAATTTCATAATCCTTTACTACTGAGTTTTGTGACAATAACACTTAGGACCCTTGAAATTTTTAGTATTATATTTACACCTCCCTCATTTTGATTTTTAATGTAACAAAGTCATTCATAAAAGCGATGTAAAAAATACAAAAGAAATGCTAAAATGTATTTTTAATCTCAAATTAATAACCCTTGTGTATGGATCATAAGAAATTGAAATCACAAATTCAGCTTAAAAATTTGGGCTTGATGGCGTTGAAAATGGAGGATAGTTTGTTTCTCCATTAGCATTAACGGGGGCATGTAACTATAGCATCTTTGCTAATTTTCAACTTTTAGATGTTTTATTTTCCTTCTACGTTATGTCTTACCACAACAAAGCTATTTGCAGCCACTTAAAGGTAAATTCTCAACATCAACTCTTTTTTTTTTTTTTTTTGCCTTTTCCCTTTTAGCATTTTCAAGTTCTTTTTAAAGTTAAAATTGTTTGTTTGGAATTTTTTTTTTTTTTTTTTTTTTTTTTTGCGGGCAGGCAAGGAAGTTTGTGAATGAACACATTTGGCTTGAACTTTTAATTAATTCTAACTCTATTGCTAACATGGGTTGACTTTTTCACATTAAAATTCAAAGTAAAGGTGCAGGTAATTGTGATATTGAAAACATCAGAGATGCTTATTGAAATTGTCAAATACTTTAGGGGAGCCATCTAAAATAATCCGTTTTCTTTATTCTATAGCATGTGCCAGCATATGCACCAAAAAAAAAAAAAAAGGAGGCAAATACAATTTTTTTGACCCTTTTTTTTTCTAATTATTTCAAGCTCTTCGTTTAGCAATTTATCATTATTGGTATAGTTGATTTCAAAGATCAGTTCTTAGGCACATGAAGATTGTACATCTATTAAGGTGTTTCTTTCACGGGCCACATCAATGGTAACTCTGCTGTGTGACTATGTTTTTTCTTATAAGATAGGAGTAATATTAGAAACCTAATATGAGGTTTTTTTAATATCATTTAACACCCTTGAAGTTTTACAAAAAAAATGATATATTTGAAATTTTGAGATAATGACCCAAGATACAGGAACAATGAATAAAGGGATAATTTCATAAAAACTTATCTTGAGGTTTGTTTTTAATATCGCTTATCCATACTTTCAAAAAATCTCTCTTACTTTCCTTTTTTTTTTTCTATTTATAAAATCAAATTTCATTATCAGATTACTGGAAATCATCCTGCACGATGTGATTTATATCACTGTCATGATGATAGATTAAACACGCACTAAAAATTATAAATCTACAATTTAACACATACTATAATAGATTTGAAAAATTATCAACAGATATAATAGATCTCTTATTTTCCCTTAATTGACATGCATTGTGACATTTTGTCAGCACTTGTGAGTTGAATTAGCATTAAAAAATTCATATCAGAGGAGAGATAATATTTTACTTTCGTTTATACTCTTATTATGCTGCCCCCTGTATGAATGCTAGAACAGCAAGTCACTATCAATACAAAATTAAAATGCTAAGGACAAAGAGTGTAGCAAAAGAGAAAAGAGAAAAGTTGTAGCAGGTCAGTAGTTTTATTATGAAAGCATCAAGATAGCAACTTGAGAACCACAATTTGTGCAGCAAAAGATGCAATTTAGAGAGGAAATTGGGAGAAGATATTGTAACAGATTATGACAATTTTAGTTAATCAATTAGGTTTTGCCAGCAAGGTAATATAGTCAATTCTCCATCAAGGCCGACGACCTATTCTCCTTGCTACAATTAGCGTAGCACCCTTTTTTTTTTTTTTTTTTAGGGGTGTTCCACATGGAGTGGACCCCGCAGACTATTCCCCACCCTCCACAACTTGCTGGCAGCAAGGTTCGAACCAGGGACCTAAGGTTCCATCTTCAGCAACCTCAACCGCCAGACCAATCCCCGGAGGACGTAGCACCCTTATTTTAAGATACCCGTTTTTTTTTTTTTTCCCCTTTGTGTTTCTAAGTTTCTAAAAGATGCATGGGTGAAACATCTCTTTCTATACAGCATAAACAATAATAAAGACAACGTACGCACAACAAAACATGTAAGTAGTCTTTTTAGAGCCCAATACAAGCTGATTTAGTTGACAAAGACGTGCCACTTTTCACAAAAAGTTATATGTTTGAATTCCACTGCTAATATGAGAGCTATATTAGTGGGTCTCTATAACCAACGTATTGTTCCGGAGGTATGTCCTGATCTGTGATGGTGATCAGAGCCGAATCTACCCAAAACATTTTTTCTTACCAAAAAAAAAAAAAAGTCTTTCTGCAAGCAAAGACCAAATGAAATGCCATAAAAATAATTAAATTGGCATTAGGTGGGTTTGCAATAGATTAATAGAGTAGATGCAATGACAAATAGGCAAAGATCTTTGCTTGGTAATGATATTCAAGGGGGCAAAGCCATGTGATGGTGAGGGTGGGCAATTGCACCCCTAAACTTCAAAAGATTAGGAATTTAGCTAGTAAATTTGTACTTTTTAATTTCTTTTCTATTTGTACTTCCTAAAATTTTTAAAACTATCCTTACCTATTGCCGCAACTAATTTCTCTTAAGTTCCTTCCTTTATTTCCGTTCTATTGAAGATTTAAACTACCACCATCGTCGACATAGAGATGAGATGAAAATCTTTTAATTTAACTTCAATAAATAACTAAGTTTTTTTTTTCTCTTTTGTATTCTTTATTTGCATGCATTTGCCAAATTTCTTGCACCGCCTAACCTTTAGGTCTTGACTTTGCCCTTGATGATATTCATATACACTTTTTTGCTTCTTGCATACCTTTTGAATCTTTTCGATGTTAAATCAAACATGTATACTAGCTAGGTAGTCTGCAAAAAGTTATAAAACGACATTGTTAAAAAAAAAAAAAAGAATGTGAAAATTGTTAATCTTTTTTTTTTTTTTTTTGGATTTAGTCTTAGTGTGCTTTAGCCTTCAGCAAGATACGGGAACAGCCAGTATGTGTCAGCTTTGCCAAATTTCCGCGGGTGTAAATCGAAAGCTTAAATTTTGTGAGGACAAAAGCTTAAAATTTTAAAAGTTTTCAATTTTCTAAAACTTGGGGTGGGGAGATACAACAGGAAAAAAAAAAAAGGAAAGATGTGAAGAAGCCATTTTTAATGTGGGTGATAATATATAAATTATTAACATTTTATGTCATAATATGTATAATTATAAATTATAATATTTATTGTATATATGTATGTATATGTATGTGTGTGTATGTGTGTATGTATAGACACACACACATATAGGTTAGGTCTTAATTGAATCTGAGTCTAGCATCGCTCAAACTTGGCTCAAATTTAGTTTCGAAAAAGTTAATTTTATATAAACTGACACTATACGGTTGGATGCATGACACATGAACGAATTTTAAATTTTACACATGCATCATGCATATCACGGTAAAAGTATATACACTAACAATAATGTATATAAAATTAATCCTTAAAATAAAAGCCTAATAATGGAACAAATAATTATCCTGTTGTTGAAGATCAATTGGTGTTGAGATGTTGTTTGAAAACACAACGTTTGAATTTGTAAAACATATATATATATATATATATATATATATATATATATATATATATATATATATATATGCAAGAACTTAAAGAACTTATTCATTTCTTCTTATTTTATTTTAGGAAATTGTTTATGGTTTTACACTACACATATATAATTTAAGTGTCACATTTAAGAAAAAGCATAAAGTTATATCAACTAGGTCATTTTATCTTCAAAATTTCATCTACTTCTATCATTTGAAACTCCATTTCTTCTCCTGTTGTTGTTGTAAAAATAAATATATGTCATTACGTAAAATTGATGCATGTCATTACGTAAAATTGATGCCCTACTTCTTAAATCCCACCATCCCGTAGTAAAAAAGTTTAAAATATGCATAGGAGGTCACTACAAAAACTTAGAAAAATAAAAACTTTAATTATGCCATGCATGCTCCCCACGTGGAAAATACTTGAAGATTGTTGTACAACACATGGCAATAGCCATTTGCAGCTGCCAACATTTGGAATCCAAACACTGTGATTGAGCCACTCCTCCGCCAAGCAAAGCCAATACAGTCACTACGTACTCTGTCTTCTTGTCATTCATTTTTTAATTTAATTTAATCGAAATCACACGAAATTATAATAATAGAAATTTATAGATTTTCAAATCAAGAAGAATTAAATTAAATAAATCACGATTTTTTTTTTTTTTATATTTTACCCTTTGTCCGGTTACAATTTTTCTGACATTTTAATTTTTGGGCAATATTCCAAATAATTTTCCAATGGAAAGCAACAAACTCGAATGCAACCTAAAAAATCAGTCAGGAAAAGTGTGGAATCTTATTCCTGGTTGCACATGAAGATTGATTGTTGAACCTACTAAATTGCATTGCAAGATAATTGGATTATCCCACGGCACTAAGGGGAACTGATGTGGTGAGACGCTACTGCTCTCTGACGGGCAAACATTGGGTAAAACTTCTTTCCCCAGAGGAGGAGCAAACATTAGTAAAAGTTTGTCAATATGAAGTCATAGAACTCATGACTTGTAGCGACTAAAGAGTAAAGACGACAACTGACAGGAATCAGAAAGAAAGACTACAAATTAAACAACCGCTCTGGCACCGCCACCAGCTTGTGCCATATATGTTAGGAGCCTCAGGGACTCGATCGAGAGTGATAATGGGACGAAGTATTCAAGGGCACTTTGGTCCTCCTTTCTTTGTCTTCCAGTTGTTGTAGCAAGCACAAACCTGCTTGTTTCCAGAGTATCCAGGAGGAACGCAGAGGCACTTTGCACAGCATTTGTTACAGAAGAGTTGACAGGGCTGATTCAAAGAAGCCCGTGTCTTCTGACACCTCCTCTTGCATTGCGAGCCGCACTCTGGTGTGACAACATATAAAGCAGCAGTTTTGATTTAGAAATTCGCAGTAGCTTTGAATACTTAGAGCAAGTATCAGATATGAGAAGGGGTGGCGATGCAAAATTTTAGAATACACCAGGCTGCATTTTTAAACTTGGATTCTCCATTACCAAAAAAAAAAAAAAGGGTTAATGATGAAAGCTGATGTTGTCTTTCTTGATCATAATAATTAACTTAAAGCAAATTCTGCAATTTTCTTGGGACTAGGGGCGTACAATTGTGTGAAAAGATGTGTGTACATTTGAATTGCATTTGTTTATTCCTCCCTGTGGTCAAACTTCAAATAGGAACTAACAACACCAACCTACATTAATCTTGGAATATTAATTAATTAGCTCCAACTACAACGATTAACACTAAATTCAGGTTTTAGCTCTTTTCAAGAAAATCAAACGAAGTTAAAGCAAGCAACAAGGAGGAAAAAAAAATAATAGCCAATCAAAAAAGAAGGAACAAATGTGAAGGAGGAGTACTTACCGTAACCCTTTAGGCTCCCTTCACCATATCGTGCCTGCAAATAGAGTAAAAGATTTTCGTGAGGAAAAAAAAAAAAAAAACTCTTTGTGAGAAAACAGTGCTAATCAAAGAAGCAATAATTTGTTCTTGAATAAAATGTACGGTTCAGACAATCCATGAATGCTCAATCAAGGGTTAGAGAGAGCTGAGTAAACTTACCCTATCAATGTGGGCATTGGCCATAGCCGTGGTTGCAACCATGGAGATGGCAATGAGGGCCAAAATAACAAGGCAGAGGATCTTAGCCATTGCCACTCACCAAAGTGCCAGAAGAAGAACAAGAAAGAGAAGCTTTAATGAGTTTAGTACTGCTGCCTGCTTGCCGGTGGTGTAAAGCCTAGTGTGGGGTTGGAGACTATATATAGAGACAAATTATTGCAACAGAGGAAGGAAAAGGCTCAAAAGAAGGATTAATTTGCATTGTTGTTATCCTCATACTTTATGATAACTCTATGGGCATGCCTCAAAACTTCTTGAAATTGTATGGACCTCCCCATTTCATGTTTCTGTAAATTCTGTTGATGAAGGTGAAAAATGGTCTTCATATCCTTCTAGTCATTGCAGGGTTTCTTCCGAATTTGAATCCAGACACTTTTCAATGATGAAAAGTTGTAAAAAGGTTAGCAGTACAATTTTAGGAATCAAAGTCTATATGGGATCTGCTTGTAAGTATCATGACATCCACAAGGGGTTTACTGCAATTTATCCAACCTTTTTCTGAAAATTCATTATTATAAGGTTCTTTGGGGAATAATAAAAAAAAAAAAAGAAACTGCCGGTGATTGATTATGTGTTACAAGTGGGGTAGTTAGTTGGAAAGTGGGGGCGGACCCCAAGAAAACAGAGAAATGCATCAGCACATTGGATCAGTTTCCCTGCACCAAATGGATATTGACGTTAGATGACAACTAATGAAGAAATAAATTAGTACCAAGTTAGAGCTTTTCGTTCTCTGTGTCCCGGAGGGCACATGTTGGCAGTCCATCAGCCCCAAGATGAGAACGTTGGTAGGGAATGATTAAACAAGAACCATACGATGGTTGGGGACGCGGGACCGGAGACAATCGCTCCGAAAGGTGTAACACCATTTATACATGGTGTAATATCATCTGTACAAATTATAATAATAGAATAACAGCGAGTAATATTAGAATAACATTTTTGTGGGTCTCACACGACGTGAAAATCGAGTTACAAGACGTGATCTAAACCCCACAAATTTTTGAGGCCTCATCCAGACCGTGAAATGCCTGGAATATTGTCTCTGACAACCGTCCACGCCCCTCGTCCGATGGTATAATCAAGAATCAGAATATGAATCTGAGCGTATGGCAGCAGGATCGTGCGTGAGCAGTGTTTCTGGATTTTTTTTTTAATATGAGAAGTAGCGGATATTTCTTTTGTCCCACTTTAATAGTTTTATGTTTTTAGTACATCCGTCTCAAATTATAGTTCATTTTTAATTAAAAAATATAGTTAACTTTTAAATTTTCTAAAATATTCTTATTTATTGTACTTTGTTATCATTGAGTATAACTTACCTTATTTAATAGTACAATTAACATTTTCATTAATAATTATTTTGATTCATCTCTTGAATGATGCAACTTTTTATCAGTATTGTTGTTTGTTATAATTGATGTAAAGGTATAATGATTAATTATATTCCCAACCTTAACATAAGGGTGTTTTTAAAAAAAAACAGTAAGTTAGATTTACTTTTTTTTATAATAAAATTAACTAATTTTTCTTAGATTGCACGAAAAAGAAAGTCAAAACTATTAAATTGGAACGGAGGGAGTATAAAATTTGATTGCAATTAAAATAGAATTTTTCTAACGAGTGTTCTTAGGGTACTCCTCGTTAGCACAAATAACATTCACCTAACTTACTATATATATACATATTAAAAATAGTTATTATTATCCCTTATATTTATTTATTTATTTATTTAATTAATCTTATATTTTTAAAAACATAACGTATGAAATATATAATTGGGCATGAAATATACCTTAACGAGTAGAGCACTCTTCAGACACACCGATTAAAATAAGAGGTGAATAATTGGGTAAAGGGAGAAAAGTTGGCATGTGAGGCCATCTGAGGGAAGCACATGAACCGAAGATGCGCCCAGAGACCAATCCACCGCACCGTCCGCTGTAACCATCCCTTGTTTTCTGCCTCGCCATATGCTTCTTCTGAAAAAGTCATATGTTTGGCTCGCAACTGCCATTCCTTAATTAATTGCCTGCGTTGCTTTAGTACTCTTTTTCCTCTTCTTCTATATATTCTGTTTGTTTTTCAACGCCTGATGATAATGTTCGTTGGATAATTGCATGACAACTATACATACATGCATGTTTGTATGAAGAACATGAGTTACACAGCTTTTGCACGTCCCCTTTCGATGGTTGGTTTTTAGGGCATTTTCATTAGTTGAATTTATTTTTTTTAACAAAAAGGGACCAATTTTCGACTATAGTTGTCGAAAAGAAAAATTTTTGCTTTTTATTCATTTATTTGTAGTTAACCCTTTTTTTTTTTTTTTTTTTTTCTCTCAAGCTGAGAGCAATCTACATACAATTGGGTCTGATTTTAAACATTTGACTTAATTCGAGCTGAAAGCAAAGAAAGGCTTGATTCGACTTATATGAATTAGAAGACATCAAAAACGTTTGATTTTAGCTTGTGAAAGACCAAATTGCTTCATTTTATATGTGAGGGGTCATAATATAATATCGTTACAATGTGAGAGATGATTGGTGTGGTTTTTCGTATGTATATTGCCAATTTTGTCCTATAAATTTTGCACATGTAATGTGTCTGTAACTTTAATGGGCAAAAAAATATGACTTAAAAAATGTTCAAAAACCAAAAAGATGCAATATTGGTTTGTGAAATAACTAAAAAGGATTAATCCTTCCTATACTGATACTGTTGGTTTTGAAAGAATAACAATTATGTAAAATTTGAATTTGAAATCCAATTTTTATACATGCGTCATGAATTTTACGGTGATAGTGCATACACCGTTAGTATATATAAAATTTACCCTCACTAAAATACTATCCATAAAATACGAGGGTCGAGTGATGCCATTTTTCTTTAAAAAATAAATTAAAATTCATTTTACTGACGTAAGAAGGTATAATAAATATTCAAATATATTACAATAACACAATATTTTCTAAGTTTCTATTGCCCTTTTTCTCTTATGCAAAATCGATTGTTTTAGACTCGAAAAGGAATACACGTAAACAAAAGTCAGTCTCTCATAACCGCAAAAACACTTGGTTGAAAAAAATAAAAAAAGAAAAACACAAAAATGTGGATAAATAATCGCATCCATAGGAAAAAAGTTTTGCTTTTGAAAGGCAACGTTAATAGTACTAACTTCAATAAATGACTTGCAGTGCAGAACATTCAATACTGTAAAAATTTATCTTGTTTGGATTGTAGTTTTTTTGGCGAAAAAATTTTATATTTTTCATAAACATGTTTTCAAATCATTTTTTTTTTATCTTACAAACATCACATCCTTAAAAATTGCTACAATATTTTTTTTCCACAAGAACTCCTAAAAACTTTTCTGAAAAAAATGAAATAAAAATCACATTCAATTATGTGTAAAGTTAAAAAACATATATCTTTGAAGCCTTCAGATATGGTTGCGCTTCCCCAATAGTTTCCAATCAGCTTGGTTGAGTTTTCATGTAAAATGCTAGGGATCCTGCCTAGTAGCTTAGGATTTTTTCCAAGCCAATTCGGCTCTTACAAGCTATTATTGCTGGATATATCATATTCATTTAACAACTCATCAATGAATATATCTATTGAAACATCAGAAAACCACATCAAATATCTAGGCAGCAGAAAAGCTGACAATTAGTCTAACTATGGTCCAGGCTTCAAAGTTCAAACCGTCAAAACTAACAAAATATTACTACCAAACTGAACTGTAATTAATGTATCTTCAGATTAAATTTTGTTGATACCGAAATATGCAACCATAACATACTCTCTCCCTTTTTTTATAACTGACGTTTAAGAAATTTGCTCCAGTGTACTTTTATCTGTCGTTTTATAATCTCCATACAGTATTAATTATTTTTTCACAATTTTGCCCTTTTATCTCTCTTTTCCAATACAGGGTTCTTAATTACTACTCCTAGTAATTATTGCTTCTCTCTTTGTAACAACCCTAGTAATTATCTGCCCCTCCGTATTATCTGCCCCTCATTGGACAATTAATGAGGGTACAAAAGGAAAATAGTGTACAGATTTAAGCAATGAAAAAAATTTTTTAATTAGTGTGTAAAACCTTGAACGTCAGTTATAAAAAAAGGGAGTGAGTAATATATATTGGAGGTCAAAGTGCTCATCAACTTCTAAAGCAAGACATTTAATGAGTGCACAAAACAAGTAGTCAAAGATAATCGGCACGAAAAAACTAACCGTACGGCCGTCAAAGCACGGATCAATACTACCCAAGTTGGATCATGGGTGAACATTTTAAACAGTAGGAGTATATGTCCATGGTTGCGTCTATGGTGGAAAGCTGAGTCAGCTTTGTACCGTAGGCAGAACAAATGGAATCAGGACAGCACATGAGCATGGGCCAGGCAAAGGACAGCGACCGTGAAATAGCTACCGAAACCGGGCAGAAGGAGTTGTAAAGATGCGACCCACTTTAGTATATGAACTGTATTATTGTAAATAAACATGCACCCGCACAAGTTGTGGGCATGTTTTATGAATCCCAAAACAAACTATGGTTACCTGATGATGATTAACATCAGGTAAGCATTTATAGTTTAAGATTGGAGTACACATGGCTTAATTAGATGATTTATTAGAAACATAATTAGCACAGTACTTCAAGAAATTAGAATCGTGACATAATTGACCCAGTAGATTTTAATTTAAATTTAGAAATTAGATAAATAATCTTATATGTAACATGGTGACTTTTAAATTAATATCGAATTTGTAGATGGTAATCATAAACTTAATTAACATAGCACTTCAAGAAACTAGAATTGAGATTGTAGATAAAATAATCATAAATTTTAGAAGAAAATACTCTCCTCTTTGAATAATAAAAAATTTAGAGTGGCAAGTATTAATCTCTTTTTCTTGGTAATCTTATTAATATTGAAAAATATATATAAAGAGAGAGAGAGAGAGAGAGAGAGAGAGAGAGAGAGAGAGAGACCTAGAATTTGTCTTATGCACTAATATAATATTAAGTACCAATCATTCATTGACTTTTCTTTCTCTTTACTTACAATTGATCATTAATTCATTTTGCATACTCTCAAAACATTAAGTT